AATGCCCTCCACTGAACTGTCATGACTGGGATCACCGCCTCTTCCCCAGAGCCTCGAGCTGCAGCCGCCGCCCCTCTCCTAACAAATCAGTCTGTATGAAACCGAACTACTCCATTCCCTTTCTGGTATTTGTCTGTTCTTGAAATAGCCTATTTATTTGTTTATATGTATTTTTTCCTACATGACTTTAGTTTCTTGCAGGGAGGGACTAAGTCTTTTCATATTCAGCACTGTTTCCTTAGCACATAGAATGTCAGTGCCTGACCCATGATGGACTCTCAAAAGACATCCATGGGGACCTCCTGGTGGCCCGCGCTTAAGACTCTGTGCTTACAATGCTTTCACAGGTTAGATCCCTGGTCGAGGAAATAAGATCCCACGTTCTGCGCAGTGCAGCCGAGAAAAGAAAGAAAGCCATGAACTTTCCAACATGTTGACTCTCAATGTATCCTCCTGTATATGATCAGGATGATATTACTCTCAGCCTGTTCTTAGGAGCTGAGGGAATGCATGCATCCAAGTTCCCTGCTTGGTGCTCAATGAACAGGAGCTCTTCTGATCATCATAGGCTGCTTTTCTTTTCACTTCCCAAGGGCTTGAAAAAATGTTTCACTGAACACAGTCTTAGCAGCAAAGTGGTCCCCAAAGCACTGCCTTGCCTGCCCTGAGCCTTGGGGAAAATAATCACATTTTCTATCTAAGGGTGATGTAACACCGCCACTAAAGAAGTTTATCTGTTTAGCCCTATCCATCATGTGTCTCTCCCACCCCTCCCTTGCTGGGAAGGCGCTCACATTTACCAGTGGTGTGATAAGCACCACTGTATTTCTGTCTGCCAGATGATTGATCTTTCGCTAACAAATCAGCTTGGCTGGCGGCGCGGCTGCTGTCCCGTTGCTCCTCGTCAGATGGAGGCGTGGCTGGCCGCCCTGCAGACCACTGCAGGGAGATGGCCCCGAGAGCGCCGGGAGGGTCCTCTTTGCACAAAGCTGGGCTCCGTTGAAAAGACCCCAGGCACGGCCGTGGCTCGCTTCTCCCAGAGAGGTGGCAGCATTTTCATCTGCCCTGGGATTGGGCCCAGATGGATTTGTGCCTTCCCGACTGCTTCCTTTGTGTCCTGGAACTCTCAGAGACCAGAACCCAGCACAGCTCAGGGGTCAGGAAGCCAGGGCCTCCTGGGGTCTCAGTTTGGCCTATTTGTGACTAATTATGATCACAAAAGGATTGAAAAAGGGTCTTCGAACGTATGGTAGCAATTAAAATAGTCACACTCTGTTAGGTTCCCCTCCCTCCCTGCCCCATTCACACCATAAGGAGAGGTCTGCAGGGCTGGGGTTTCTTGGACGACCTCCAGCAGCGCCGTAGACAGAACCCAGCAAACTCTCCTCACCTTGATGTTGGTGATGAGCGCGAACATTTATGAAACCTTCCCAGGTGCTCGGCTCTGTTAATCACTTTGCATATGGTGGACTCATTCTTCCAGGAATAATGAGCGAGGAAAGCAGGTCCAAGACCGATCTGGTGGGAGTGCGTGCAGACTGTAGAGACAGAATCGTGACTGGGAGATTCCGAAGGTGTACTGTGGGTGTGCTCAGGCACACCCTGTGGACCGTAGCCTGCCAAGCTCCTCTGTCCATGGGATTCTCCCGGCAAGAAGACTGGAGGGGGTTGCCATGCCCTCCTCCAGGGGATCTTCCTGACTTGGGGATCGAACATGTGTCTCTTACATCTCTTGCATTGGCAGGCGGGTTTTTTCTCCCTAGTGCCACCTAGGAAGGGGTGGGGTCAGCATTATCCAGTACTTAAACTAATTCAGCCCTTTCCTGCAAGATATTCCTTTCACCAACCTTGCAAGTCAGGTCACCTCTTACCTACATTTTTGCAGGTGAAAATTGAGATACGAGAAGATTTAGTAGCCCATCCAAGATTGTACACGGTTACTAGAGGGGCAAGCCCAGGATTTAAATCAAGTTTGTCTGACTGCAGGCTCTCATTGTGTATAGAGATGGTCTGAAAAGGTCAGTCTTCTATGCAGACAGAGGGACGAAAAAGATGCCAGACAGAAGGGTTTTTCCTCTGAGCCTTATAGTTTTCTTCTATGACTAATGCAAAGGCAAGTCTGTCTATACACGCACACACACCCTTAAGAGTAAAACTAGACAAACTTTGCAAAGCACCATGAAGCCAAAAAGACTGAACTATTCAAGGCATCCACTTGATCATTATTTCAGCTTCTACACGTCATCTTTATAGTCTATTGAATTAGTAAGAGAAGTGACTACTTCTTGACACTGACAGAGAAGTACACTGCATATTATAGAAATGGCTCTGTGCAAACCCATCAGATTGCTATAGAGACACAAATTCATACTTTTCACCATCGTAACCCATAATCGTAACCCAACATCCATTCAAATTAAAGCACTGTAACTCTTTTTAGAAGTAGAAGAAAAAAAAATACTTGCTGCCTTTTGCTGGTTGATTTACTGGTACATGACAATATTGGGCATATTAAATTTTAATATTGGCTCTGTCTTTTTCACCATAAGCTTTGTGCTGAGGAGCTTAGAAATTATTTCACTTTAAAAGGGACATTTATTGCACTGTATAGGCAGGTAGGTAATTCTGTCCTCTGAGAAACTCATGGATTATTTTCCTTCTGAGACATGAGAACTTTTGATTTGTACTAGTTGTGTCATTTGGATGCAAAGGAAGGGTGACTTATTGTTTCCACTGGCATAAATAATGCTCTGTTTGTTTCTGCACTGTTTTCCAACACCCGCTGTGGATAATGTCTCACAGTTTGCTAGGCAGAGAACTCAGCCTGTTACTGTAAATGTCTAGGAGAGAGAAGGGGAAACAGCTTTGGATTTCAGCCTAAGGTTCTAATGCATCCCCAGTCATCTTAGAAAGAGATAATCCAGTTATGGTGGCCAGTGCTACGAAGCACACGTCCTTTCTGTAGAACTCTTTAGGGAGCATGTCAACCTTCTTGCCCTTACAACGAGATAATTTCCGGGATGATTTATGCTTTTCTATCAAAGACAAGACATCTCTTTAACTGTGACTACTCTGCGCCTACCCATGTTTCCCATTCCCCTCTTCTCTGACTTCTTATCACCAGTTTTAAGAAATATATGCCTGTCTCTGAAAGTATCATGTGAGAATTCTAGCATTACACAAATTTCTGGGGATCTCTACAAAACAGATATGACAGAAACCATTGGTTGCTGATCCAATGTCCCTCTTCTTTTTTTATTTAGTTATAAAAACTGATTTTATTTGGAGTGGCAATATGCTAGCCTGAGATATGAATTTTCCAGCCTCCATTATAAATTAATGTGACCATTCTGGATAATGACATGGAAACAGAAATTATTGGGTAGATCCTCTGAAAACTACAACTCTGAGACAGAAAATTGGTAGAGGTCCATTTTTTCTCCTTTCCCTAACTTCTGCTATCTGTTGGATTTTGGACAGATGGCCGGATCTCTAGCAGCCATATTGGAAAAGGAGGCAATCTTCAGTTCTTGTAATAAGGGGAGTAGAAAGAATGAAAGAAGAATCCTGGATGCCTGATGGTGTAGCGGAGCCACTATGCCAAATCGAGCACCACCTACCTTAGGACGCTTTATAAGTGAGAGAACGCATTTCTACTTTATTTAAGCAAGTGTAACCATGTGCTATTATGTCCACCTGGGTAAGCCAGTCTCCACAATGTGCAGACATTGATGTATCCTATGGGGAGGTCCACACAGTAAGGCATGATGATGTCCTGCCAACGGCCAGCATTGACCTGTCAGCCGTGGGAGGGAAACCCTGGCCGGCAGCTTGCCTATGACCTCATAAGAGACTCCAAGCTAGCCAAGCTGCTCCTGAACCCCCGACCCTTAGAAACTGTATGAGATATTAAGTGTTTATTATTAGTTTAAGCTGCTACAGTAGTATATAAATAAGACAGACTTCAGGATTCGGTTTGTATTCTTGTGTATCTATTTTTAAACTGATGGGTTAGGTGACTAACACAAAACCTTGATATTCTGAAACCCTATACATGAAAATATCCACAAAGGGATTACAATGCTTCTCATTTGCAAGACATCATAGTTAAATATGGTTGCAGACTTAACAGCTTTTTAGCCATTCTTATGGATATAGCAGATAACTATCCTCATGAATTTCACATTCCACTAAACAGGCATTTTCTTGACCTAGACTAAAAAACCCATGTTCTCCTCACCTACTCTCTCACCATGAAGGACCCCCTCCCAGCCCCAGAGGGCTGACGTGACCCAGATCATAGAGGACTGAGGCTTCTCAGAGCATTTTTCTCTCCTTCTTAACGAAATTTGGTGTTTTGCAGGGAAAACCAGCCTTTGGAAAGGAAAATGCCTTCCCCAATCTCAAATTCAATTCAACTTGGGAGAATGAAACTGCCTTCCCAATTTAAGGTGAGGTCTGCCTGCTTACTGCTCGAGTTCTCTGATGATGGGCCCCCAGACCTTTTCCTGATTTTCATAAACACGTGACATTTCCAGACACCTGGCTTAGCTTTACAGTGGCCAGCACCTTCCTCACAGATCATGCACTCAACTTCAGCCTTTGTGAAGCTTTTATAATCTGTCCATCACGACCCCAGTGACCCCTGAGCAATATAAGGGGCTGTCTGAAGAGCTGCAGATCATGATGCTTATGCCTCTACTGTCCTTGGGCAGCACCTTTTAAACTGGGTATTAAGTCTCTCCCCAGCGACTCAGCGGTAAAGAATCTGTCTGCGATGTAGGAGGCCTGAGTTCGATCTCTGGGTGGGGAAGATCCCCTGGAGGAGGGCATGGCAACCCACTCCAGTGTTCTTGCCTGGAGAACCCCATGGACAGAGGTGCCTGGCGGGCTACAGTCCATGGGGTCACAAAGAGTGAGGCATGAAGCAGCTGAGCACGCACACACCCATAAAGTTTCGGTACCGGAGGTTTATTAGTCAACTGGTTATGATCACCTACCAACCGTGTTCCGTCCTATGATGACCCAGGTCCTGTCTGCCCGGGGTTCTGTCTGCCCAGGGCTGCAGGATAACAGCCCTGCGGCATTGGCGAAACTGGGAATGTCGCACTAGTGGCAGGGGGATGGGGCCGTTGAGGGTTTCTGGGCCAGCCGCGCGTCTGTCGCAACATCAGAAGTGAAGACTGTCATATCCACAGGGCAATCCATTACCCTTCACTGCAAACCTGTCGATTCGTTCTGAGATTCCAGTTGTGACTACACTCTGTTGATAAATATCAGAGACTTTGGCAGAGTAATGGCAAATTGTCCAGCTGAATTTATTTACATTCCCCTGGATAATCTATCTCCTGGCCTAAAGCTATCATCATCACTTAGAGACTGCCTTTTAATTTGGACTTTGTCATTCTCCTGTTTCTCTTCTGCTTCGTCTTCCCCTTTTCTGTGCATTTGCTGGCAGATTAGAGCATTCCTTGTGGCTCAGACAGTAAAGAATAGACCTGCAATGCAGGAGACCTGGGTTCCATCTCTGGGTCAGGAAGATCCCCTGGAGGAGGGCGTGGCAACCCACTCCAGTATTCTTGTCTGGAAAATCCCATGGACAGAGGAGCCTGGTGGGCCACAGTCCACAGGGTTGCAAAGTCATACAAGACTGAGCGACTAACACTTAATTAAAAACAAACTCCTGACTCCATTATTAGTTAGTTAGACTCACTCTTTCTTCCTCTCTCCTTCTCTCCTTCCCTTCTTTCTTCCTTCCTTCAATCTTTTTTTAAGGGGTGTTGAATTTTATGGTTTGCAGACTATGGAAGACAGAGAAGCAGTCATTGTTGGTTTTGCGCTATGCTAGAACATTTGGAGGCTATATATGTATCCCAGCACCACCCCGCCACAAGGCTACTTAGGAATATGCATTTGTGATAACACTGGTTGATAAACTAGAAGCTGGGATTGTCTGATCAGAGCTCCTTCTAGAGGAAGGAGGAAGTTGTACACCAGTAGCGTTGGTGTCATCCTGGTGGCTCAGATGGCAAAGAATCCATCTGCAATGCAGGAGATCCTGGTTCGATCCCTGGGTCAGGAAGATCCCCTGGAGGAGGGAATGGCAACCCGCTCCAGTATTCTTGCCTGGGAAATCCCATGGACAGAGGAGCCTGGCGGGCTACAGTCCATGGGGTCGCAAAGAGTTGGACAGGACTGAACTATTAACACTTGCGCTTTCTTTCAAAGTTAAGTCATCTGGTGGCAGATCTGGTTGGAAAGGTTTTTTGTTTGGCTGGGGGTGAGATGAGTGAGGGAGAAAGAAAAAAGCCTGGTTAAGATGCTGTTTCACTCTTGCTGAACAGACAGCATAAAGGGAATGTCCCACTCACGAGATATCCCGTCCATGGTCATTAAAGAGTGACTGCTTTCTTTTCTTTAAGAACGGGAGCCTTATTTCAGGCTCTCATCCTGTGTCTAAGGTAGCCATCTCAAAGCAGCACGAAATAAGTGGCAGTGAGCAATTCAGACGCAGTTTATTTCCCGAGCTCAGCTTGTGTATCTGTATCAGCTTCACTTTCCCGAGCTCAGCTTGTGTATCTGTATCAGCTTCACTTTCCCGAGCTCAGCTTGTGTATCTGTATCAGCTTCACTTTAAACCATTATTGAGTGAGCATGTGAACGCACATACACAGTAACATATAAAAATGAATCCATAATGCATGTATTTTCTGATCTCTCTCCCCTCACCAGTACCTTCACTGTCAGAGGAAATCAACCTTAACCCACTGGTGGTTTTGACTGAGATGAAGAGTATTTGTGTTTTTTATGTTTGCAGAAACCAAATGAGACAAGCATCCTGAGTCAGCATCCTGGGTTGCTCTGAGACCCACCAGAGCATCAGAAGAGCAGACCCTGCCTCCACGAGAGTTGTAATAACAACGACAGCTGTCGTTCAGGGCGTTCCGACTGTGTACCAGGCTCACAGTGGTTTTCGTTTGTCAGCTGACTTCCTCCTCCCATCAACCTTGTGAGGTTGGTGGCTGGAGAATTGAGTAGTCAGCCAGTGGGAGAGGATCACCAGCTACACCAAAGTGTCCTAAGGATCAAGAGTAACCAGTGAATCTCCTTTCTTTCTTATCTTCCCAATAAAGCTCTCACTTTCTTCACACAAGTCCTTCCGGATGCTTTTTTGGACACCTGGGTTTGCACGTCCTACCCAAGTCCACTGGGTCATCGATGTTTGACTTGGGCAGAGAGACGTGTAATGCGAGCCATTGTCCCTGTTCCGAAGGCCTTTCTGGGTAACTCTCAGAGATGGCTCTGTGGGGCCTGCCTTGGATACACTGCCTTTCGTAGAGCAGGAACTCGGTCCACATTCAGAAAAGTCAGGTTACTACCAGTGTGGTTGTTCAGTCACTAAGTCGTACCCGACTCTGTGACCCCAAGGGCTGAAGCACTCCAGGCTGCCCGTCCTTCTCCATCTTGGGAGTTCGCTCAAGTTCATGTCCATTGAATCAATGATGCCATCCAACCATCTCATCTTCTGCTGCCCTCTTACTCCATAAACAGTGACTAGGTTGAAATGAAATCATTTATGAATTAAATGAAAAAAAAAAAGAGAAGGTGTCTGTTGGAAGTCAGGCACTTTTCTAGGCATTGGGGATATATGTGCTAAGTTCTGCCTGTAATTATGGGGGTGATGGACTAGCAGGTGAATGCATATGATACGTAAAGCAAACAGGAAATAAGATAATAGGAAGTATATGAAGAAAATAAAATTCATGGCTGTAATGACGGGGAGAGGGCTTACTTTGCACCGGGTGGCCTGGAAGACTTCTCCAAGGAGGAACTAAATGAATATGACTGGTGTAGCCCACTGTCTTGCCGTAGGTGAGAACCCCGCACATGCTGTTATACTAACAAAAAGAAGTGTAATTATTTACTTCTGTTACATTCATTGGAATTTGCAACCTGAAGGTGGTTATAATTATCCCCATTATTCTCTTTTCTGCAGCTTCCAAGTAATGGAGCAAATGATAAAGCAATGTGCTTAGAGAAGACAACTTTATTCTTCTTCTTGTACATTGACCTTGCTAGAAATCAGAGAAGGAGGTCAGACCTGGATTGAATGCGGACACTGGAATTATCCTCAAGGGGAGGCTTCACGTGGAGACGTTTCCTTCTGGGATTCTGGGATCTGCTGTGATTCCCTGGATGTAAATACATGGGAGTTGAAACGGACTCATTTCTGGATACTAGTGAAATGGGACCTCTCTTGTGGCACGATGGCACTCAGGATAACATCCCCTAAGTGAGGGGGGGTTCCTCGGGAAAGCCCAGAACTGCACGGGGAGACCCCTGGACCCGGTCCTGTGCCCTGGGCCTCGGCTTGGGGCAGGTGAAGGGCGCCAGGGCTCAGCCCCGCATGGGGCGTCTGCTTGAGGCCCCCGTCTGCTCCCTCTCTGCCTCCAGGGGCCTCCTCCTCCTGCAGCTTTGGCCCCTTCCCTCCTCACCCGTCACCCGTCACCTCTCCAGCTCCACTGCCATCGTCTCCTCTAGGCCCCCAGCAGCTCTCTCCCATGGGTCCCCCACCAGCTTCACTTGATGCTCTTGAGTCTGGTCGTTTTTAAATGTTAGGATCTTCAAGGACTAAAACCAGATCACTTTCTCTTTAGTACACCCTGAACTTTTGGCAATTCCTAAGTTATGGACAGAGGACTCCTTGGACATGCTTGCTTCTGTAGTCTGTGGACTGGATGAATAATGCGTTCTAATGAATAATGCGTTCTAATCTGTGAAGGTGGCTGTACCAAAGTGCCATGGACTGGGTGGCTTATAAACAACAGAAGGCATTCAAAAGCTTCAAAGTCGAAAGTTACAGAGCTGGCATGGCTGGGTTCTAATAAGGCTCTTCTTCCAGACTGCAGATGTCTGAAGGGCTTGGGAGCTCGGTGGAGTCTCTTTTAAAACATTAATCCTGTTCATGGGGGCTCTATCCTCATGACTTGGTTACCTCTCAGATACCTCTGAATACCCACATACTGTGGGCTGGGGGCTTCAACACATTAAAAGTTTGGCATGAAACAAGAGCATTCAGTCCGTAACAGTGTGTCAAAAATAGGTGCACAAACGTTTTCAAATGTAAATACTGTTTTGATTATTGGAGTAGGAAATAGCAACCCACTCCAGTACTCTTGCCTGGGAAATTCCACGAACAGAGGAGCTTGGCGGGCTATGGTGCATATGGTCACAAAAGAGTCGGACACGACTGAAGAGACTTCATCCAAGTATGCGCTGTTTTGATTACAAGATGCAAATTTATTTTAAAGAATAGCTGAATTGATTTTTCCATGGTATACTTTAAAAATCCACAAATAGATCTTTTATCCTACAGTGGCCCGTGATAGCTCGCTCATCTAGTAATGTGTCTGCAGACTTGAAAGGGGGTCTTGAATCGCTACCAGCAGGATGAGGCCTGAGATGGATGATTTGATTGACACCTGCTAATCCCCTGGTGCTCCATAAATGTACCTGCCAGTTCAGACCCCTGGTTTGCGGAGGGGCCAGTGAAGTCAACGGTGCCGTGAGCCTTGAGGTAGGTCGAGGCATGGAGAAGCAAGTTCCGTGGACTCTGGCCTCCTCTGTGCAGAGGGATAAACTAGCCTGGGCCCCATTCAGACGTCATTTTCATCTTGGACTTTTGGGGGAGTGCTCAGTTAATACAGCAAACACAGGAGGATTTTACATGGCAGTTTCCAACAATTTGCATTCGTGTGAAGGGTTGTGTCGGAGCTGTTTCCATCTCTGCTTGCTCCGTTTATTCAGCATGAGGGTCTGGAACATGCAGTCCTGCTGGCTTTTATCAGCTACACCATCTCAAGGTACTACAGGGAAGATCTTTATTATTAGCATAATAAGAGGGAAGCGGGCTGCTTGTGGCAACTGTCTGCCTATTTATAGAGCTTGCTCGGTGTTGTGTACTGGCTGCTAATTAAAGCTCAGCTGTCAGCGGCAGGACAGGAAAGGAGGAAGCCTTCTCAGCGAACAGGGCGGGCCGGTGGGACAGCGGGCAGGGTGCCTGCTTGGTCCAAGCCTCCCTGCCGGGGGATGGAGCTTCTGCTCCGTGG